AGGCCATGATGCTCCAGTTCTCCACGGCCATCGGAGCCATGCTGGGTACACTGAGCAGCCTTCTGATGGAGGGCATCAGCGACACAGCCACCGCCTGGATCCTGCCCTTCACCGCCGGGGGCTTCATCTACATCGCCACCGTGTCCGTGATCCCAGAGCTGCTGGAGGACACCAAGATAGGGCAGAGCATCAAGGAGATCCTGGCCCTGCTCACCGGCGTCTTCATGATGGTGCTCATCGCTCAGTACGAGTAGATCTGTGGCGTCGCTGGCCTAGTGGTTAGGCTGCTGGACTCGTTATCGTGAGGTTGCGGGTTCGGCGGTTCGAGCCTCGGGCGGGCCCGACATTGTGTCCTTGGGAAAGGCACTTTACACGAATTTTCCTCACTTCACCCAGGTGGGAATGGGTACCCGGCCAAAGACTGCAAAAGATCTTGTCGGTATGTTAGTGTTTTAGTGCCTAAAAATGGCCGCTTACACTGTATGCTTCCCAGGAAGTTGAGGTTGTTTCAGAATGCTCTCAGGTCTGCTGGGGTAATAGTATAGATTGTGAAGCGCATAGAGCTTGCTGTTGAGCGGGGATTTGCGCTATACAAATGCTATCTATTATTATTATCTACACGTTCATTATATATATGTGTTGGAGGTGGAGGTGTCAGGATGGTGCTGGATATGCTGTTGAGAAACAGTGTCTGTGTTTGATGTGTTGTCGAGTTGTGGTGTGTGTTTTTGATGTGTTGTTGCCTTGTGGTGTGGGTTTTTGAGGTGTTGTCGAGTTGTGGTGTGTGTTTTTGATGTGTTGTCGAGTTGTGGTGTGTGTGTTTTTTATGTGTTGTTCACGGGCAGTATTGCATACAGACGTAAGTCATTTTTGGCGGCCTTTGAGATACGTCTGTATGCAATACTTCCTGCATGTTGCCTTGTGGTGTGTGTTTTTGATGTCTTGTTGAACTGTGGTGAGTGTGTTTGATGTATTGTTGTCTTGTAGTGTGTTTTTGATGTGTTGCTGAGTGGTATGGTGTGTGTTTGAAGTGATTTTGAGAAGTTATAATTGTGTTTGATTGATGATGATGTTGTCTGGAGAAATGGTGGTTGTGGCTGACATGTGATGTGAGTGAAATGAAAGCACCACCACTGACCTGACATTTGACCTGACCTGTGACCTGATGTGGTGGCGTTCGCTGCACTGTTTGACGAGACAGGATGGTGTGGAGTGTCTGTGTTTGATTTATTTTTGTCTGTTTTTTGAGTGAGAGAAATTGGTGGTGTTGAGCAGTCGAGATTGGTGTGATTGAGCTGAACCGAGCATCATTGTGTTATTGTTGAGTAGTCGTGCGTGGTGGTGTTGTTTATTTAGATATCGGAGTCAGAAGGGGTGTAACTTTATCATTATGATGTTGCTTATCTTAGATTGATACTTTGCAGTTGCTCTGATACATGTTCCTTGTCTATGGGGTAAGGCACGGGGGGGGGGGAGGATGTTCCTTGACAAGTTTGTGTGAATGACTTCTGCTACGTTGAGATATGTGATGATGGTGTTCCTCATGATGTAATGTGAATGAAAGAAAAATTGCTTTATTTTTTAGCTGCTCAGTTTGTTTGTGTCCCAAGCGCATTCTCCGTAAAATTCCGCTTAGTTTATTGAGCAGGTTTTGTGTTATTTTTCCTTAGCAAGACTGTGAGAAGGGGAGGTTTACGTTGAGCACGTTTGATAAGTAATTGTTTGTTTTGCTCTGTCTGATTGATAGAGTGAGAAAAGAATAATTGTTATTGTTACTGTTATTGTTATGATGTATTAATCAGGGTAGCTCAGAGCCTGAGGCTTGTTATTTATGAAGACTTAAATGACCGCTAAGCTGAAAGTGAAAGTGTACAAGTTGAAGAAAAAAAAATTCAAAAATCACAGTTTGGTTTATATGCCAAGAGAAAATGCTACCATTTCTTTTTAAGTATTAAAAAGTTGTCATTAAGTTTAAAGCTATGAAATGACTTTTATGACTCGTTTTTTTTCAAGAGTATCACGTCACATGGTATCTCTAGTGCAGGCGGTTGCTGTTAGTATCGTGAACTTTCTTGTGATATTTCAGTTGGAGTGTTTTCCCTTTTATCTTTTGTCCACTGGTGTTTGGATTTCTTACTTCTGTTGTCCAGCTATTGTCAGTGACTCACAGTATTGGGGGCTGGTCCAGCAGCTGTATGTTGAAGGTTTCTGTACCACTTGTATTGCTAACTAACTGTCTTGTATTCAGAGGTACATGCGTATCCAATTGTTGTTTTTACTTTGAAATTGATTGTTGCCGGTGTATCAATCATCAGATATATCAGAGATTTTGTGGTTTTAGTTCTCGAGTGTTTTTGTCAGTGTCTCCGTGTCATCATTGCCTTTCTCACCCTGCACCAGGGTATAGGCCACGGACAAACACACTCCCCTTTTCTCTATCCTGTGCTAGCCTCTTGATGTTATTCCATGTCTTCCCACTTTTCTGTACATCGGTTCCTGTGATTCTAGAAGCTCCTCCGTCTCCCAAGATCGAAAAATAGAAAGCTGTGTTTGTCCGTGTTTCTGTAACTTACTGTTTTTTACTGGGTTGGGTAGTTGGCCCTCCGCAAACTGGCACTTTTTGGACGACCAGACCTATGCACTTTTAGTCGCCTCTTACGACACGCAGTGTCACGGCAGGTGTATTCTTTGCTCCCCCGCAGTAAAACTATGGGGCCCCCCACCCGCAGGGGTGGTGTCTCCGTGTGCCTTTTAGAAAAACTGTTAGTTGTTGAGATGGATTTTTGTTACTCTCTACAAAAGCCTAGATGGGAGTGAAAGGGGGGTAAATCTCTACTCATGAGGTACACCAGACATGGTCGCTTTTAAGGACAAGCGGGCTAACCCAGATTTTGGGGGTTTCCAGAAATCTTGACCTACATCAAAAGTGGGCGTGTCCCTACCTATAGGAGAAGTTTGGTTTCATTGGTGTGTATATTTGTTTTTGTTATAGAGAAAACTCTCCTTGTCTTTTAAAGAAACAGAACAATGGGCTAAGACTTTACCTTCGATTTTCTCAAAACAGCATTTTTCGGGATAGCCCCCTTGTGCTTTAAAAGCGACCACATAAGATTTGTTGTCTTAGATGTAAGCTGTTGACTGTTGGTGTGTTTTGTCAGCGCAGTCATGGAGAGTCGAGTACCTGGCCACAAGAGCAGTCTTGTAGATGTCGTTACGTTCTTTATTTGATCCAATGTGTTCATCTTCCTCTCTCTCTCTCTCTCTCTCTCTCTCTCTCTCTCTCTCTCTCTCTCTCTCTCGTTTTTCTCTCTCTCTCTCTCTCTCTCTCTCTCTCTCTCTCTCTCTCTCTCTCTCTCTCTCTCTCTCTCTCTCTCTCTCTCTCTTTCACTCTCACACTCTCTCTCCCTCTCTCTCTTTCTCTCTCTCACATTCTCTCCTCTCCCTCTCTCTCACACTCTCTCTTTCTTTCTCTCTCACACTCTCTCCTCTCCCTCTCTCTCACACTCTCTCACACGCTCTCCTCTCCCTCCCTCCCCTCATCCCTCCTCTCTTTTTTGTGTTACATGTTCTTCTCCTTCGCTCTGTCTCTGTCTCTCTCTTTCTCTCTCTCTCTTTCTCTCTCTCTCTTTCTCTCTCAGTCTCTCTCTGTCTCTCTCTCTCTCTGTCTCTCTCTGTCTCTGCCACTCCTTATAATTGTAAAGTTGTCTGGAGTGTGTAGCAGTGAGTCACAAAGGCCAAGTGTTTCCCAACACCTGGACAGTTTTGCTTGTTCGTCCTTTTTTTTCATTTTTTTTTTTCAGTTCTGTTTGTCTTCCTTTCTCTCAGCACTAAGCGACGTTACTGTTATTTTGGCCATGTGCTCTTCTCTAGTTTTAGCAGGCTCACACTCAAGTCAGTTTATGAGGGTGGTTGGTGGCTGCCCTGGTGTGGTTTGCTCCTTCTTTCCTATCAAACATCTATCGTCTTTTATCTCTCCAACTTCTTTTTTCTGTTTGTTACTCTCTTGTAACACCTCTGATCTTCTGGCGCTCATATGACCATATGCAGTTGCGAGCGCCGTAAAACCTATACTAAAACAAACATCTTATAACGCCTCTAATCTTCTGCATTTATATGATCTTATTGTGTTTCAAGTGCCGTAAAACTCTTAGTAAAACTAAAAGGCTCACATTCAAATGAGTTCATGACAGAGTCAACCTTGGTAAAGTTGGTGCATGTAGTTACTAGTACTACTAGTAGTAGGTATGTGCTGAAGTTTTCTTCCCCGATGTGTTTGTTTGTCCCCCCGTGTTACGTATGTTTCATTCCCCGTTTACTTTGCACGTAGCCCTAGTTTGTGCCATTTTGAGTTCCATATCACTTTACGTAGAAGTCGCTGACAATGAAGGTATCAAAGGTTTAAATGAGTGACTGGCTGTATGGCCTCGGTTTGTAAACAATTTCTTGATTCACCACGACCACGATGATAGCTTGAACTGAAAGTCAAGTCTACCCCCCGGGGCAGTGCCACTGACTGAAGTGTCTTTAGGCCATTCCCAACGGGGGGACATTTCTCGTTCAAGCACAGTAGAATTGTAAATGGGCTGATTCATCAATGTCAAGCTCATAACTGTGCCTGATCTACAACAGGGAACTGCTGCTTTTTCTTTCCTAATCCTTACTATTGTCATTTTTCCTCTACTTCATTTGTATGTTTGTCACTCTCTTGTGACCTGCTATTTCCGGGATGCCTTGATAGTTGAAGCAGACCTTGTGCTGTTGAAGCTAGAGAGGTGAGCAGAGTAAGTCTGATTCCCTGTAAGGACTTCTCTGTTGACACCCACCCCTTGACGTTCATATGACCTTATGCAGTTGCGAACGCCGTAAAACCCTCTACTATAATAATAAATAATAAAACAATTTCTTGATTCCCCCCGACCATGATAATAGCTTGACCTGAAAGTCAAGTCTGCACAAAAATGTTGGCTATAGGAACGTTGTCTTTTACAGGTTACTGGTCTGACTATAGCCATGACTCATTCTTTCCAACACTACCTTGCACTTTTTGTCGTCTATGTCAAGAAATCACATTGTTGGATTGTCTCTGTTTTAACATGAATCAAATCAAGTTGGTTCTAGGTCTTTAAATTGATTTTTTCCTCCCTCACTTTCTCTCTGTCTCTTTCCCCACCCTTTTTATTTCTCTCTCTTTCTCTCTGTCTCTTTCTCCACCCTTTTTCTTTCTCTCTCTTTCTCTCTCTCTGTCTCTCTCTCTCTCTTTCTCTCTGTCTCTTTCCCCACCCTTTTTATTTCTCTCTCTTTCTCTCCGTCTCTTTCTCCACCCTTTTTCTTTCTCTCTC